TGAGGAGGGAAGGCAGGGCTTCTTGCTGCGGCTGGGCCGGTCACCGGTCCCGGTTGCCTCCGTTTTTCTCCCTGCAGAAGGGGAGTTACCGATTCCAGCTTGCCTTTCGCTATAAAGCTGTCGTGAGCATTAATTAAATATAGTTAAAATACTGACTGTTCTTCTTGTGACAGGCAGTCGTATCGAGCAGTTAGACGGCCTGCTTTCTAACTGCTTTTATCCGCAGTTAGTAGTTCTCCAAACAAGAATAAAATCCTATGCAAATGTCTCTCTCTTTTAATGTCAGAGAAATAGGGAAACACGCGGAGACGATACGGAATTTGGCACAGAACACGCTCCTTGCTTCAATGTGTAACTTCATTTGATATGCATATCCGCTCTAACGCAAGGCAGAATGAATATATTTAGGCTTGGAATTAGAAGATGGTTTCTGTCAGGGAAGTGATGCTGCAGGCAGGACCACCCTGGCTCCAGCAGACACGGGCACATGCCCGTACCTATATGGCCCCTATATAGCCCCCAATACAGGCTCAGGTGCAAGCTGCGCACATATGGGTGCTCGTGCGAATACGTGTGGCTCGGTGGGCACTGGAGTTGCTCCGCAATAAAACTTAGTTCCCTCTCTTTCGAAATGAAGCTGAGGACAGTGATTCTGAAGGAGTCTCCCAATGGCAGCAGCAAGGGGAAACAAGCAACGCGTACAAAACGTTCAACCCCTGAATTGTGCCAGAGTTAACCCTTGAATTGGCTGCGGTGGGAAGGGGCTCTCCCTACCCCTGAGCTCAGCGGTTCATTCAAACACTGAAAATTAAACATCTTCCAGGAAGAAGCAACACAAGTAGGTAGTTTGGGGGATTCATTTAAGACGGCAAGCCAGGGCAAACCATGAATTTCCAGTACGATTTTTGTGTTGTTCACAGAAAGATGATGCTTCGACATTTTTTAGAGGTTTTCAGTGTGCAGGCTAGATGCAGCTTTTTATTAGATGTCAGAGGTACATTTGATTCCAGAACCTCCTACTTAAATGTAATTTAAATCTTGCAAACATCCTACACACGTACCTTATGCAACATAAAGTGAAAATAACATTTAGAACTGAATCATCACTCAATAAAGCTGACAGAAAAGGTAGAAAAGGGAGTGATTAGCTCCTCAGGTATTCAGTGCCATGCCACAGAAGGAGGACGTTTAGTATTAACAGGCAGGAATATAAATTTTAGCTCATTCTGGGTTTTCTCTGATAGTGGTGTGCCAATTTAGGAGATCTGTATAGGAGAGGTAAAGTGTCCTTAAATCTGTATTTGATACTAAGGCAGTTCCAGTTGTTTGCACTGAAGTCCCCTTTCGGATGCAAAATGAGGCAAATTTGCTAAGAGGGAAAGACTTGGCTGATGTTTGAGGCACAGTGCTGGGCAATACGCAGCTTTATTGCTCTCCGTATCTCTGACACGCACCTGATTTGTGACCTGGAAAAGGCCAAACTGTTGAAGTTACTGGGTAATTTTGAAACCTGAACCTCTTCTTTCTCTACTGCAGTTTATTTCTGAGGGAGGCAAATGCTGCAGTATCTCACATCAGAACTAGATTTTTTTAATCTCCTTTAGGAAAAAAAGGATTTTTTAAAATTTCTGTACTCTCAGCGATGCAAATCCAAGTATGTCTCCCTGATGTGAAGATTATTTTCTTTTCTTTAAAATAATTTCTTACTACAGTTATCTAGTTGAGAAGATGCACAGTGTTTTCCCTGAAGGATTTGATGATGTCATTGAAATAATCTCCAGTCTGATGAATTGGTGTGTTTCTTAGTTTTCCCTAAGTTTCTCTGATAGTCTTAAACCCACTGGCATGATTACGCAAACATACATTTTGTAAGGTGCTGTGCTGTGAAGGGAGATGGAGATAACTATTTCTAGAACCACTTCTGTTTTCTCACAGGAAACTTGTGAATCTCTCTTGAATTTAACCTTGGAAGAGGTGAAGAAGAATTATGAGGTTGAAAATCCACAGAGGAAATTTTTTGGCGTTATCCCAACATCCTTCTCAGCCTCTGAGGCCCCCAGTCCTGAGTTTGGGCTGGTGATTGATGGACGGACGCTGAACGTTATCTTCCAGGGGGGTCTGGAGGAGAAGTTCCTGGCGCTGGCAAAGCACTGTCGCTCGGTGCTCTGCTGCCGTTCCACCCCTCTTCAGAAGAGTATGGTGGTCAAGCTTGTCCGGAGGCAGCTTAAAGTGATGACCCTGTCGATAGGTACCTCCATTTTGAATCTCGCAGCAGAAGGAGGGGAGCAGGTTCTTGCTTTATGAATTACGGAAATCTATGGAATATATTGTATGACCTATTTTGCGTGCCTCAGATAGATACGGTGGGAAAATAGCATCGAATAGTCTTTCCTGATCAAAACCCATATGAAAGTCCTTCTTCAACTTTCACTGAGCAAATCTGGCCCCCATTTAAACAACATGAAGGCACTCCAAATTCAGAATCCCCCAGCAGTCCCTTTCATGCAGGCTAGTACAAACATATGTACATATTCCCTCCAGAATGCTCTTGCTTTGGGCATGGAAAGCGGTCGATAGTAGTTACTGTTTTGTCTTTTCATAAAGCCCTTTTCCTGTCAGATTTTCTCAGCTGGTGAAAACAGATTTATCCCCAGAGTGGTATTAAGCGCTGACTCATTTGCTTTTTACCTCTAAATAATGTGAAATGCTTTGAGTTTCCTGCTCCACTTTTGGTAAGTGATCCCACTCAAATCCCTGCAGAATTGATTTTTATGACTTAAAACTAAAAAATACACCTCCGTGGACCAAACAAAAAAGGAAGAGTCTGATGTTTTTTAAAATGTCTTGCTTTGCCTTGGAGTTCAAAATACAAGCTTTCAGCCTTCCACTTAATTTATTTTGCTCTACCAGCTAACCTAATTCACAATCTCCACATTGCAGGCAACAACTATGGCTGTTCTTTCCATAGAAATTTGGTTATGTATTTAACATATTGCGGCAACGAGCAGAATAACTCCTGAAATTGGCTTGTTACATTGTCAACTGCAATCAAATTTATCATATAATGTGGAGAATACAGTGAAGTAGGATGCTGCAAAACGTGTTGCTGAGCATATGGCGTTCACCGAGCAGAAATAGACAAAACAACGTGGCTCTGGATGGTGTCAGGGTGCCCATGCCACCACCCAGCCAGTCCCGACGTCAGGCTTAGCCCTGGTGGATCCAGGTCTCCTGGGAAGGAGGATGTTCCACCCAAGATCAGAGCCTAGAGGTCATGACTGCTTGATGCTGAGTATCAGTTACCCTAATTAAGATACATGGTAGTACAGAATAGCCTTTGCTTACCAGCATAGCTGGGCTTTTTTTTCTTTTTCTGATATAGGCATTTTGTATTAAGCACCTTTTCTTACACCGTTATTGTTCCCTCCTGTCTTCCCATTCTAGGTGACGGTGCAAATGATGTAAGTATGATTCAAGCAGCTGATGTTGGAATTGGAATATCTGGCCAAGAAGGCATGCAGGTATCCCTTCAATTTTCCTTTCCTCTTTTGTCACGTGGTCTCTTGCTGCTTAAGAAGTTTCATAGCAGCCCTGTACTCTCGAGTGTGATATTAAAGATGGAAGTTGGCATCATTACTGTCATAAACTAATATGCAGTTCATAATTATGAGTCCAGCCAAAAAAGAGTGTTTTGAGCCAACAATTAGCATGCATGGACAAACATGTGTTTGCTCATAAGACTGGAAAATTAGCAGATGCCTGTCCAGTGTTAGGTTAGCATCTGGTTTCTGAATCATCTCTGCTATAGCATTTCCAGGTTTTGTTGATTCTCTTTCAGTGTTTTCTGCTCCAAATTCTTTCCCACACATCCCCTTCCTCATTCTTCTAAGTTGGAGAGTTCTGCAGAGGTAGAAAGTTCCAACTCTTTACTCAAGGGTTGGTTTGGGGTTTTTTTCTACAATATTCAACAGTAGGAAATCATTTCAACGTCCATGTTCAAATTTCGTCCTACTGGATAGGAAAAAGATATATTGTAAATTAACTTCTGTTCTTTTTACCCAAGGCTGTGATGGCTAGTGACTTTGCAATATCCCGATTTAAGCATCTCAAAAAACTTCTTCTTGTCCATGGACATTGGTGTTATGCTCGCCTGGCAAAGATGGTGATTTATTTTTTCTACAAAAATGTGGTAAGATTATTAAAATTCTGGAAGTTTTCATCCTATCAAAGGTTAAGTCCAGGGCTGGGGGTGGGGGTTGGTTTTGGTTTTTTTGCAAGTTATGCTCTCTTACATTTTATGAAGCTACAATTCCTGTTTCTTCGCTTTGCAAGTTTATAGTGTGTTACCTCCTTCTTAGTAATGTGCTGCATAAAGCATTGAGGAAAATACGGGTTCTAAATAGATTTTGAAATACCATTATTCCAGAAGGAAAAAGGACTTGAGTATTAGTAACTTTAATATGGTAGTTCAAGAAACTTTATTAATAATACCCATAGGCCTCAAACTAAAATTTGCATAAGGAAGAGCAGATTATTAGTGCTAGAATACAGAAGATGACTCTGCACTAAGAATTGGCTGCCTGTGAAACCTCTGAATTTTTGCATTTAATTTGATAGGAGCCACTTGCAAGTAATGATGCAGTCATAGCTGGCATTTTTATTAAAAATTTAATGTATATGCAAATGAGCTGTGCATTGAAGAATAATGTAAAGTGGAAAAACCTGATAGTAATACAGTTCCTACAAGACTGTGCAAACAAGTCCATTTGACATGAAACACACTCTGAGCATGAAAGACTATTTACCTAGAATTCAAAGCAATTTTTTTTTATAATTTTGAATAAGGATTACTTCTTATCAGTGTTAAAATTTGTAGTGAAAGTGGAAACTTTTTTTTTTCTTGATTAGGCATGCTTTTAGAGTTCAAAGGCTATTTATTTGCAATGCAAAATAGCCCTCCAGACCGGGATGCTGCTGCTCTATTATCTCCCCAGTGCCATTAGGGAGCAGGAGGCCTTTGATTCTGCAGGGACAACCAGTTTGTAAAAGGATTTTAAAATCTGGTGCTTAGAGTTGTGAACAGTTTTACTTAATTATTCTCTGATATTGTCTTAAAGAAGCCTAATGGCTTTTAAAAAGCTATATCACGGCGGATTGGTGTGCAGCAGTCCCTTAAGATCTACTGCTTCACGGAATGAAGTGCAGGTACTGATGGTACCTTTAACCAAAATAATGTATTCTCGGGAGACTCTGCTAATAACCAATGTGCTACATAAACCTTGTAGGTGGAACTATGAGAGACATAGACCATCTATGCGTTGTAAACTTGAGGGTCCAGAACAGCTGTAACAGTAGGGAACAGTGTGAGGGAAGGAAGGGGACGTAAAGGAGAGGCCACAGGAAAGCTGCAGCTTCACAACTCCCAAAACCCAAAGAGGAAATAAAACCCATCAGCATGAAGGATGTGCTGCTGCACATGTGGGGAGCCACAGTTCAGCTTGTAACGGGATGTTGTGTTCGTATTTGCTTCTCCGCAGACGTACGTTAACCTGCTCTTCTGGTACCAGTTCTTCTGTGGGTTCTCAGGCAGCACAATGATAGATTACTGGCAGATGATTTTTTTCAATCTCTTCTTCACCTCGATGCCTCCTCTTCTCTTTGGAGTCCTGGATAGAGATGTTTCTGCAGAAACACTTCTAGGTTTGCCCGAGTTGTACAAGCATGGACAAAATTCCGAAGTATGTCTTGATTGCTAAAATAACTGCTTGATAAGCCACAGGACCATGGGTTTTTTGGTTTTCAGAGGAGGGAGGGAAGAGTTTCAGGCTTACTTAGAACCAAATGATCCATTTATGGTTTCTGGTGCCCACTAAAAGGGGGTATAATTGTAGCTGTCAGAAGAACTGATAAGGAACATATGATTGAAGTTGCTTCCTGGAAGTGAGGCTGGGTGCTTGTCAGAGTTGGAAGGTTTATTCTGCTGTTGAATATACGGAGCAATCCAGTTTGGTACCAGCATGCTGCACTATAGTAAGTGAAGTGATGTACTAGTGAATCAGCCCTGTGTTTGGTGTTTCTGATCTGAAGAGATGATGGAGCAAATATGTGTGTGTGTATGTATATATGTACACACAATATATATAGAAAATTTCTCAGTGAAGGCACAGGGAGAAATAAATAAAACAGGATGAGAAATGTAACAAATGAGGGTAAAATAGTTTAGCTGGTCCTTGATTAAACTCTGCCCAGATTTGGTTCTTTGAACGGTCTCATTCTGCTGAAGAAGAAAAGCTTGTTAAAAAGATTACAGCAAAAAGTGACAAGAAAACGCAAACCCTTAAATCAATAAATAACCCGACATTTTTTTTCTACTCTCAGGTTCAGAAATACACCCATTAATACATAAAGAATTTTGCCACAGATTGGTGTCTAGGCTGTTCCAGGCATGAACTATGTCATTTACTTCTTTTATTTTGACCATTCAGTATTGGTAACCCTCAGAAAATATGTCTGAAATGTTATGTTTTTATCTCAGTTCGCCTGTCAGGTTTAGAGAACCAATCTGATCTGGTTGCGAAGAGCACACATATACAGACATACATTCCTGGTCTGGCATATACATACAGTGCAGTAGCACCTATTCCCAAATTGCCTTAACATTTTTCATAGGAAATTATAAAAATGTTAACAAGCAAAATTTGATGTGGCCTTAGTTTTAAATCACAAAACTGTAGTGTAATTAAGAACTCTTCTCTTTCCTTCTTTTTCTCCTAATACCTACTTTTATTAGCCTGGACTGTGATTTTTAGCACTGATGAACACTGGTGGGTCACATCGTGTTTAGTGATGTTTTGAAGAACCCAGGCAAGGGAGTGCAGAATTTGAGGATTCTTTGTAAGACTTTCTATCCCTTTTCTTAGGAGCTCTTGGACCTCACATATATGCGAAATATATGTCCTTTACCATTTTGAAGAGGTCATTGCAGCCCAGCCTTCTGTCGCTCCAATAATGCATCCCACTCCATGGGAGCTGTGGCCCCACAGGTCACTGGATAAGTTTAGGTATTACAAGTAGTCAAATTAAAATGGCAGAAAATAAATGTTTCCATGGAAGGAACCTTGACAGAAAGGATTTTTCTGTAGCTCTACGAAGAGCTTTTTTTTTTAAAAGAATTTGAGGAATGGGGTCCTTTGGGGAGGGATGGGGCATTCATGACATTCAGCTTTTAAGACCCTTCCTTGACTGGCTAATCTTCCTAAGGTCTGTCTTTAGTTAACACAGAGAAAATGCCTATTCAGAGACAAGCCTTTGGTCTAAATCAATGGCTCAGGAGGCATTTACTCATGAAGGGAGACCAGTTAGCTATAATCAATAGTCTGAATGGAAGAAAAACAGACAGCAATTATGTCTGTAGGACAGACTAAAGATGTGTGTCCCATCATAATGACTGTTATCTATAAACTCCTGCAGATATACAAGCTGTCAACTTTCATTATTACAATGTTGGATGCCTTCTATCAGAGCCTCATTTGCTTCTTTGTCCCCTATTGGGTAAGTACTGGGGTCATTAATATTCTCATTCTCCTAACCCTCCTTAAAAAATAGAAAAAATCACTTTTGAATAGTCAGGGTTCATCACAGTCTCTCTGCCTGTTTTCTAGACATACAAGGACTCTGACATAGATGTGTTTTCCTTTGGAAACCCCATCAATACCATCTCCCTCCTGACCATTCTCTTGCACCAGGCTCTAGAAATGAAAACATGGGTATGTGTTTGACCTGTCCTATTCACATGACTATTTTTTTGAACAGACCATACTGTGTAGACATGGCATTGCCTTTCAGGGTCATTTACCTGAATTCTGGGTCACAAAAAGTAAGTAACAGATGCACTGAGGTTTCACAATGTGCCATAATTTATTATTAGCCTCAGGATAATATCTTCATGTGCACAGCGACAGAGTTTGCCTCTGCTATGCCTTTGGACAGGACAGTACATAATTTATACATCATTATTTGAGGACATAAATCTTAAAGAACAGTATTCTCTGCCACTGTTGTTTTGTAGGTTAATTTCCAGCTATTTCTTCTGCCGCATTTTTCAGTAGCATGGACCTATTGGATATATTCTTTGTAATCCTTCTTTGTATCCTCCTGTCTTAGACCCAGAGTCGGAGTCTTACAAGCGTCACTGTCATTTCATGCAATTCTGCTTACAGACCCTGTTCCATGTGGTAACGATGATTTGCAGCGTGGTGTTTTACCTCATCTTCTCTCTGCTCTACAATGCCACCTGCGTGGTCTGCAACCCTCCCGCCAACCCCTACTGGACCATGGAGAAACAGCTTTCAGACCCCACCTTCTACTTATTGTGTCTCATCACCCCGGTCATCGCGCTCTTGCCAAGGTTTGAATGATGCACTGTTTTCCTCTCAGTTGTCGTTCTGTGGATTTGTAGGCATCTAAGTGAAATAACAGTAGTGATGTGTACAGATATGAGCTATGTCAGGCATACGTGTTGCACAGGGACGGGTGATCAGTGTGGAAGTCAGATGACTGGGTTCAACTTTACAGCTCATGAACCGTTAATTTATTCAGTTATATAACCCTAGATAAGTCACTATATATCTACTGCTTTTGTTTTCCCACATTTCTTTCTGGGGTGCTTCAAAGTTTACCAGTACAAATCTGTTCGTTAATTGTTCACTGTTACAAATGCAATGTTGTTGAGCTAATCAAGACTAGAAAGTAAATCTTGGAAATAGTCCTATATGCTTTGAGAGTTACAAGTCACATTCTGTTTCTGTAGTACATTACAGTGCATTACTAAGCCAAAATCAAGAACTTGTTCCTATATCAAATAATTTTCTGCATCCAGAATCTTAGTTTTATCCTGTGCAACAAATGAGGTATGTTAAAGATAGCTTTAACTGAGGCTGAATAATATTTGGAGAGGGATAATTCCGTCTATAGGCTGCTGAAAAAATCTGATTTGAAAAATTTAATTATTCTGTTCCCATATATGTGTATGGTAACCTTACTATTTTTGATGCTTAATACCTTAATCATTCTTTAAGGAGATATACTTTGTCTGAGTTGCACCACTTGCTTAAAATTTTTATTTCTGCATGGACAATGAAAAAAAATCTAGCTAGTCTCCTCATCCTAATTTTCATAAAGTAGTGCAGCACACTGGTATTGCAAGAATCAGGAAAATAATTTTAGTATCTGATTTTGTAAGTGCTTTAAGGCAGTAGAACCTGAGCCCTAACTTTGTCTAAAAAGGGACCTTTAAGACTAGATAGTATCTTTTCTTCAGATTATTATTATTATTTCCCCATTTCAGTTGAGATGCTCTTGTGAGTATATAACTTGAGGTCAGGATAAACAACACATAGTTCAGTAAGGTCTTATGTCTTCTAGGCAGCGCATCCTCTTCCAGTCTGTTTTGCGCCTGTCTGATTTTTGCTTTCCTATCAGCCCTCATCCACAGTGTGGATTTTTGACCCTGAGCTTTCTACTGAGAGCTACATCAAAGACATGGTCAGAGAACTCCTATCTCCGTCTTGGGAATTCAGCAAGGTTGAGATCATTGCTGCCTCAGCAGGGTACTGAGCTTAAAGATTTGTATCTTGAGATCTTCAAAGTTGGAGAACTGCTGATCCTTCACATAGGTACCCCAGATAATTTTCTGCAAAGTCCCCAGCTCATAGAACATCCAGCCCCCATTTCTGCTACAACTTAGCTGTGTCAGCATATCACAGCAGTGGTGAAACCACCCTGGCTTAAAATGCACTTAATTTTAAGTTTCATCTCGCCACACTGCCTGCTCTTTATCTCCTTCAGAAACCAGCTGGAGCCTTAAGATTCTGATTTCTTTCTAAGAGGTTTTGTTAAAATCCTTGCTCTCCTCGGTTCTTGCTTTTGCTACTGCCTTCTGTGCTAGCTGACATTTCTGAGACACGGCAGGCACTCTGGGGGGGTGCCCGTGCCCTGCCTGCGTGCAGGCTTCTCCTGCAGCACTGTCTGGCAGTGCCTCTGCACCTCAACACTGCCTCTGAACTTTGTTTTGGGGCACGAACTGCACAGCATTGGGTACTAAAACCCTTGAGTCCAAGAAGAAAAAAGGCATCTGAATTTCACGTTCGTTCATTGGCAAGGGAAGGCGCTGTGTCTCTTGGAGGATTTCAACACACGAGCCAGATATATCTCTCCAGCTGGAGAAGGCAGGCTCTGGTCTGCCAGGAAGCCCTGCAGATGCCCACCAGGTAACTGAGTCTCGCACCCTGCAGGGCTGTGGGAAGGGCAGGAGCAAGTGCCAGCAGTTCATGGGATGGAAGACACAGTTCTTCCCTTCCTCTGGCTTCCTGTCTGGTCCTGCTGCCACTTGCACAGAAGATACAGGGGGCACCTTGAGGGCAAAGGCAGAGGACAACATCACCCACACCAGCTCTGCGCAGACGGACCTGGCCTCTCTGTGGCTGTGCTCTTAGCTGCCCAACCGTAGCTAGCAACTGCACAGCGCCCAGACCTGAGGTGCGGTGGGATGGATCAGCCTGAGCACAGGCACACCAAATATGTGTTTACCCACTCCTACTTGAGCAGATAGGCCTGAGAAATCCATCGCCTTAAAAGCCCTTTCTGTACTTAGTCTAGCATGTTGAGCTTTTTAATCTTGTTATACTTACTTACGCATACATTTAGCAGTGGGATGTGAAGACGGCAGCTTTATTAATGCCATTTCAGAGAGTCCCCATGTTTATTTTAAAATATGTCTTGAGGCCATGTACATAAAGGTCAAATCCTATTAGAAAGATGCTTTGAAAGAGACTTTGGTTTTCAGACAGAACTGACATGACATGGAGAGAGGATGTGTGCTCTCTCATTGCACATAATATATAGTTATTTAAGTTCTCGGTCCTGCAAAGGGCAGGTAGGACACCTTTTTTTTTTACTGCTTCCTAAGCAAATCCAACAAGCTGAGGTTTTTAAATTTCTGGTTTTAATTTATCTACCAAATTAAGATCCCTTCTTCAGCCTATTTTAGCAGTATAAATATAATCTCAAACTCCTCAAATACGGCATCTCTTGGTGAGCTTCTGTGTATCTTTCTTGAATTGTTCAGCAATCAAATGCTGCTATTATCATTTATTTAGCATTTATATACATGCAGTTGATTCTATACAGGTCAAGATAAGTGTAGAGTTACATGTTGCATTAAGATTCAGGAATCAACTTTCATCTGCCAGCTATAAGGTGTCTACCAGATGCCTGTAGAGCAACAAAAAATTAGCAACCGTGTTTGTGTTATGTGATGCAGATTATGGAAGGATCCCACTGGTAAGACAATCCATTCTCTTCCTCTTTCATCAGGTTTTTTATTTTTGCTCTACAAGGAACCGTTGGAGCACCTCTGACCCTGAAAGCACAACAGCTAGATAAGCTTCCTAAAGGGCAACAGGATCTTGAAATCCAGAAACTGAGATCACGAAATCAAACTACTGTAGCATCACCTGCATCTAATGATGACCTTGAGCAAAACATCAGCCACTTATGTGTCTCACCGTTTTTACATCCGACGGCAGCATCTGTGTCTCATGGCGACACAGAAAGTCAGGGACTTTCTGCCTCTGAAGTGAATCCTCTCAGGAAACGGACACCTGAAGAAGGCTACTATTTCTTTAATAGGTGGGCAGAGGAGGAATCTACTGCTACAGACTTTTCAGCCGGAACTTTCTCTGGCCATTACCCCCTTGTACCCAGCAGTGTAACAACTGGACAGGACAGTGGCAAACTGACTAAAGATAATGCTAACAATTTTAACCACGGAAGCCATCGGCGATCTGTGAGTGCAGTGACACTCTGAAGAAACGTTCAGAAACGGGATCCACAGCACATGTGGAGAAGGATACCATACAGAAAATAAAAAGTCTATTTTTACTTAACCGTGATGCTCACTACAAAAGGAGAGAGAGGTGTGTGGAGTTGCAAACCTGCTGGAGTAGTGCAATAACATCTCTAATATGCAACTTACCCTAAGTGCGTATTTAGTTTGGGTTTGTCATTACAGGACTTCTTGATCTTCCTGGTTTTGTCTCATTAGGGGAATGTTAGATGAGCACCACACAGTTACTAAGAAATGTACAATTACTTTCTTTCATCATGGAATATTTTTCTTTCACAGTAATAGGCAATAATTGTACTAGTAATGTTTCAATGTTACTACGCTGTTGAGGTAATAGAAAGAGAATCCATTCTATATTAAGCCAAGTCAGAGCAACACATTCCACGCTGGCTTTCACTATCAGAGTCTTAAAAAGACCTTACTAATTTAAAAATTACAGTTCTGCCTGGAAAAAATGTTACCTCCTAGTACTAAAGGTGTTTGCAGAATAACAGCACTGGAAAGAGACTAGAGAGTGCTCTGGGTTTTTATACATATAACAATACGAGGTCTGTAGTCTGTTTCCCCTGAACAGTAAGCAGTATTTTTATGCAGGCAATTTGACTTGATACTGTTAAAAACGGGACAAATGAGTTTATGAAGCAGAAGAACGCAAATACTGAACTACAAGAACTGACAGGATAACTCGGGGATAAGTGGAGTCTACTTCTTCATACCTACAAACGTAGACAGACGTAACAAGTCAAATTCAAGAATTTATGTTCTAGAATTCTAAAGTTGTCCCTGCTTTTTCATCTAGGAATTCCATTTCTTCCTTCCATTCCCTATATTATTATACAGTGTTGCTGTATTCAATTAAGTATAAATCATGCTCCTCCCCACAGTTCGTTACATTTAGAGTTGATAGAGATCTCAATAATGGAGATCTTGACAAGCAATGTATGAAGGTCACTAATCACATTGCAGCAAGTTCATGGTGTAGAATGACCAGAATATGCATAATACATTTTCTTTTTAGTATCTCAGGGCAACAAGATGCAGGAAAAAAACCCATCAAATGTCACCATCATCACTACCTATTGCAATGCAATGAAAAGTGACTTCGGTATTTCTTATAGAAATGTTGACTAGTAAGACCATTCCCAAGTTTTTCTTCACAGTGTGGGGTGAAATATTAACTATGTTTTAAATTCAAGCTATCTGTATTTTTGTGAATCTACCACTGGTTTGATTTAAGTAGGTTTTTAGCCTTTTTTATACATGTTATGTTATTTTAGCTATTTGCTACCTATCACAATATGTAAAGTCTATTTAATAACCTATTTAGCAAACACTAATTTAATTTCTGTCTGTTATAATAATTACTGTAACTAGAGTCTTCAAGGTGTTACTTTAAAGCAACTCAGGCATAACTGAGTAGCATTTATGCCACTGGGATTTCTGGTAGCCAGAGCAAGAGCACACATAGACCTGTAATACCTGAAGTATTAATTGTCAGCTGTAAAACAATTCAGAAAGAGATTTTTTGCATGATGTACAAATTAAGAGAATTAAGCGTAGCTGAGATTATTGTTAATGGAGTGTGAGATTGCTCAAATGTTTGCTCACTAGCTGGGAATAGACATTGGGTGATAAAACTTAAGATCAAGTTTTTATGATTTGCAGCCATGTTTTTACATTAAATGTTCCATTTCCTTTGAACTTAACTTAAAGATTATGTCAATTTCTTATACATTTTTTTACAAAATGTGAAGTGTTTTTATAGTAATAAATATAACATGGTCGTGATTTGGTGTGTTGTTGAGAGGAGAAAAACAGAGGCAGAGGAGTGTTTTTTCTGTTCTCATCCATGAGTGGCAAACACGTTTTTAGAGGCCGCTCGATCTAGTAGGCAGCACTATAGAAATGCTTATCATAAAAACTAGCTAACAAATTTAGCTGAATGTGCAAGGGGACTGAGCATATATGGAAAAGGGGCAGACAGGTCATGTTTAAGCAAATCTGGAAGACCTGTAGAGGTTCCTGAATTCAAAGCCATGAACTAATTTTGTGTTTTCTCATCACAGCTTCTGCAAAACCGTTATACCATGCATTTTGCCCTGACAGCTGGGCTTAGGTTCAGAAATGGCACATAATTCAGGGAGGGTCCTCTTAAGAAGGGGAATGAAGGAAGGATTGTGATCTCCAGCAAAAAAACCCTAAAAGCTCTATAGTGATGGAGTCCCTGCTACGTCAGGGGACGAAAGCAGTGGAAGACAGGCCCTCTCTAAGTAGCTTCTAGGCTGTAACAAAAAACAGTTACTTCAGTTGAAAGAAAGAATCCAAATTTGCACGGCTGCCTTAAATAATTCTACAACTAGACCTACAGTCTGTTACTTCTGTTGTGTGGTAGATGATAACAAAACGGTCCAATCGATTCATTTACCTGGAGAGTTTGCAACACAGAGGAAGAGCACCTTGAAGATCCTTGAAGATCCTGATCCTTGAAGAGAGAGAAAGCTGAAACCACCAGAAACAAAAGGCAGCATCAGGCAAGACCTGGCTTCTGCAGCTTTATGAAGCTCTCCCCTGATACCCTCCTCCTGGGTGACAATGCGACCATCCTGCCTCCAAAGCAGATGCTGCCGTAGTTCAGGACCTATATTCATGGCTAAACAGTGCGATCTTTTCTATGCTCCTCGGTAAGAAGCGATCATGAACTATCTCATGTTAAAAAGATGGTGAACAGGCATTTCCCTTTGATCATGAAGTAAATTAGCTGAGACTATTAGTCCCTTTGGGAAGTAGGATCTAGAGAGAATTATGTTTTTTCCAATGAAAGCAAGCCAATAGTAAGAAAGCAAGCCCTCCGACGAATTTCTTTACAAGAGAAAAAGTGTTATTTACTAAATGGGTTGTTTAGACCTAACTGGATTTCCAAGATATCTTGTTTTGATTTCAGGACATATTTATTAATACTGTCAAGATATATGTTCCGTGAGTTCTAATGTGAACGCTTTACAACAGAACTAGTGTCTCACTTTTTAACGGATCCTGTGGTAATATTCAACATTTCATAGACGTGAACTATAAAAACATTAAAATTAATAGAGGTTTGTGAAATTACTGCATACTTTTTATTTTGGTCTATGATATTATTGCAATAATGATACTGCATGTGCAACAGTTCTTTGAGCTATACAGAGCTATGTCACCTATGTGACAAACTGAAGGTGGCCTCTCACATGGAGGTGAGCAGGAACTGAGTAACAGATGCAATCCCAGGCTGCTTGCAATGGTCAGTGAAGAGCCACTCGTCATGTTCTCAACAGAGGCAAGTTGTTTGGGGTTTTTTTTTTAATACAAGGTGCAGGAAATGCATACACATGTCTACCTTTTGTGTCTGTCTTAGCACAGCAAGTTGGAGATGTGGTCTTTGACAGTTATAGCAGATCATCTGCTTGATAGCAGCAATAACAGTTCTAAATAACAGTCTAAAATCCAGAATTATTCAGGTGGGATAGAGAGAAGAATCCAGTTTGTTCTCTTTTCTTCTGTATCTCAGAAACATAAAACCAGCTTTTAAACTATGTAGAGATAGGTGTGCATCGTGCTCTACCACAGAAACCACTTTTCCCAAGGATGAATTGTGTATAATTTGCCACTTTGTTGGCTGATGCTGCGATGTTTAATTCATTTGTTTGATTGCAGTTTGAGGTGGTGTGCAAGTACAGAGCTATTTGCTTTAGGGGTAAGGTGACTGCAGGCAGGATGAGGCATGATTAGGTACTCGTGAGCAGCACTGATGAGTAAAAATATAAACCCGGAGACAAGAGACTCTTGAAGATAATGATCACAGAGGGTGGGATTCAGAGAGCTGACCAAATAACACTGAAGATCTATGAAGTACTTTTGACATTGCCGGTGATTGGAACTTGCTGCAATTATCAGTACATGAGACAACTGTGAACAGAACTTGGTGCCCAGCTCTTCAATATGACACCTGATTATTCTCAGCTATATAAACAAGACTGAGAGTGAACAGAGTCTGAATCATTATTTTTCCAAAAATATCAGAGGGGTAGCCGTCTGTTGTCTGAAGGCGTTGAAGGGCAGCGGTTATTTATCTACCACCCCCAGTGCAGCTACTGAAGTGTACTCTCACCTCGGTATACTGTGCAGGTTTCTTTCCATGTCAGTGCCCAAAGAACTCAGGTGGTTATTGTGTTCTTCAGCAGGCAAGCAGAGCTCTATAAATGATCATCGCTATAACTAATAGGTCAAATTTTGGCTCCGTGGAAATGGAGTTTTGACCTTGACGTCACAGAAACCAAGTCATTTGATGTTACTTTGTTGTTGCCATCGATTCAGCCCCACAAAGCAGAGTCAAGGTCTTCATGGGATTATGGGGGGAGCAGTTAATAGATCATGGTTACCAGCCCTGGGGGCTATTTCTGTGCCATAGTTTATTGCCCTCATCATGAAGGTGACACAACAGATAATCTCTTCAACTGCTTCAGACAACCCTGACAAGAAACCCTCAGTTATACTTACAGTTGTTTAGCTCTTGCTCTCCATTTTGCCTGCAGTCCCTGTAAGGGTTTGTTGAAGCCAGCCAGAAAGCAAAGCTGGGCTCCAAAGCTGAATGCATTGGTTTAATGGCTGCTGTGCGTTCGGCACCATGGGCTATTCCAGTGGGTCAGCAGATACTTTAGTCTTCCTGAACATCGTTCTTTGCATGACATGGTGAGAGTCCAAAGAACCTCAAATGCAAATAATGTATTATTCCCAAAGACTAAAAATATTTTAAATAAGTAGCCAATACATTGGAAGATGAGTCCAAACATAGCTGGGGCCTTCCTTTTTTATGCCAGTATTCCTCCTTATTGTACTAACATCATTCTGTTTAACCTCAACCAGATCAGTTAGGGAACTCATGTACATTTACTGATTTTATACAAAAAAGCAGAAATGTAAATCGG